GCACAGCAAGTTGGCACAGTAGGGGGCACAGGTGGTGCAACAGCCAGTCGTCTCAGTCAGTCGACCTATGGCATCTGGGTCTGCCCCGTGACCTCCAGCCAGCAGGCGTTTGACACTTCACGTGGCCTCAACGTGCACATAGCCTGGCACAAGTGTCGTGGTAACGTCACCGCCACTTAGTGGCGAATGGCGGTTGTTGTTGTTGTGTGCGCATGTGCGAAAGTGTAGCGGTTAGCAAACCGGGCGGCCCGAGTTCGATTCCCACTCACGGTCAACACCAGTGACGATTATCTGAACTGGTTCTGGGCCTCCCCAAGATCGACTCAGCCTCAAATGAGAACTTAGTGCAATGTGTAAACATTGCCACTGGGGAGACCAAGGCGACCGGGCATGGTGCTGGCCACCCCACCCCCTTGTATGCCATTTTGGCCTTAATAGGTGCTCGCTAACTACACTATAGTAGGGCATTTTTGCCTTTGTTGTGTGTGCACAAACGAACGCGGACGCACTCTGCCAGTACGTCGGGTGGGGAGGCGTCGAGGTCGTGGAAGCCGCTGAGGTCGTTGTCGTTGCTCCCGCTTGACTCATCCCCGGGTTGGGAGGCCACTGGTTCGGTGGGCGCAGGTTTGGGCAGGAGATCGGCCGTAAATTCCAGCCGCTTGATGGCATCCAGTCGGGGCCTCTTGCGCTTGGGCGCTGCACAAAGGCAACCACGGGGCGGATTAGTCTTGGGGCCTACTTGCTGCAGCACTGCATCTGGGTTTTCCCTCCATATATAAAGAAACATGTGCTTCGAGTATTTGGCTGCGATAAATTTGCACATGATGATGAGCCACTTCGTTGCACTATCATCTGTGGCCAGGTCGCTTCTGAAAAACAGCTGAATAGCTCGGCAGGTCTTACCAGGTAAAATAAAATATAGGTTATAGTTTATAGTATGACATGAACATGCTGTCCTGGAGGTGAATATCTGATGCAAAAGCTCCACCACAGACATGGCCACACCTAGTGATAATTCACAGCAGGGCCTCTGGTGAATATCGCCAACTTTATTCCAGGCGCACTTGTAATGGTCTCGACACCTAATCTCCGAAAACGCGTTTTAATGTTCAGTTCAGGCTGCTTTGCAAGGCAACCCTGTGGAATACCTTAGAAGAGATAAGCCTAGAGATAAAAAAAACAGAAGACAAAAAAGGGAAAGTGCCGCCCAAAAACCCAAAATGTCAAGTGGCCAGTAACACACAGTACTATTGAAGGTATAACATATCAAAGTTAATGGATTTATTGAATTGAGCAATGATAATAATTTACATCTGTAAGGCATATTTCATCCGTAAATCTCAATACGCCATGTAAGGAAAGCAGGAAACCAACAGAACCAGGGTAAACGGTGAGAACTAGGTGGTTAAAGGCCAGTTTAAATAGGTGAGTTTTCAAGACACCAAGGAAGTAAGAACGTACGAAAATAAACTATTGGACCTGAATTCGACCGTCAACAGTCTGAAGCAGTCTGAAGGAAGAAGCCGAAAGAGAAGTGTTTGTGACCTGCAGTGTGCTGGTTGAACAGAGTGTGGACGAGACGAAATGGGTCAGTCGGATAGATCGAGCCCTCAGCATTGAGTGTGACCTGCGTGCAGTTGGTTGGTGGTGGGTGGGTCGGTGCGTTCTCACTGGTAGGGGCTCTGACCGCGCTCGCCAGCATGTCTTCTGCGTCCCTCTTGCTGGGGTGGATCTCTCTGGATCCGGGGGGATTCGTGGAGGCCCCGACGTCCCCCGACTGGAGGGCCTCCTCGAAGGACGTGGGCTGCACATTGCGACGGGCGACCCGAGGCTCTTCCTTTTTTCGGTTCGACTCTGCGAGTATAAATGGCAGCAATTCATCAGACAGGACTGGAGAGCAATGACCAACAAGACACGTGGGCCAGCGACCTCCATCTGACGCGAAGAAAATATGATTGCGATGGTAAATGGCACGGTCTAACAGAAGAGAGCTCTTATTAGCATTTCCCAATAAAGGTTGAAAGTACATAAAACGCATTATTTGGTTCTTTCGGTTAAGTCACGTCTAAAGATAAAATAATAATGCTATTATTTAATTTAATTTATTATTTTATCTTTAGACGTGACTTAACCGAAAGAACCAAATAATAATTCCTGCAGTCACGAAAGTTCTAAAATTAAGATTAGTCCATAAAACGCTTTTTTTGGGTTAGATCACGTAAATATACGTGTCGTTTACCTGTCACCACCCGATGCAGCCAATTAGTAAGGTTTGTCACGTAACCAAAACGTGCCAATTACTGACTAGTTCAGCACACCGGCGTGTTGAAAGAGAAAACTCACAACATTTACAATGTTAATGCATTCGCTGTCTGTCTGCAGAGGGGGTTGGGGTCACGATATTTCTCGAAGAGATCACCCAACAAATTAGTTTCAAGATGTGATGTAATTAGGGACTTACCCTACAGAAACCAGATAGGGTGGAAATCCACATTTAATTTGTGTGCGGAGACAGAATAGAGTTCTGTTTATGTAGTACTGTGTACGCTTAATCCAGAATGCTCCATAATGCGCAAGCCAGCTCGTTTGTATACCTGTCAACCCCTTATCAGTGCCGCCTACCTTATTAGACAAATTCAGACCTTATGGTCACCCCGTGCCCTTATTAATCTGAACGTTCATCCTACAAAGTCCCATCACAAGGGAGAATCACAAATAGACAACAAAAATGTGTCCGTATTAAAACGGCTGTACGCAGCATGGACCTGCAAACTCAATATGGGTTGATAGGCATGCACTATACTACCATACCTGTCAACCTCTTATAAGTACCTAGCTTATTACAGACAAATTCAGATTTTATTGGTCACCCCGTGTCCTTAACTGATTTTTTTTTAATAATTGCCCTATTAAAACGGTTGTACGCCGCATGGACCTGCAAACTCAATGTACCTGCACAAGAATACGGGGTAAACAGTGATGGGATGACACGGTTATTATGCGTTTGGGTCGTTTCAGCCCATCATCACGAGTTCAAATGTGCGGGTCAACTCAGCAGTGCTTGCCCTATGGATTGTCCTCGCCATAGGAATGCGACATCTCCACCACTGGCTCTGCAGGGTTCAACGTTCGCTCGTGACCTCTGCGGGTCTGGGGCAGGCCACGTGGCGAGAATGGAATGATACAGATGGTCCAGAACCAACGACGTGGTTCAATGTGGATTAGAAGTTTTCGTGACTGCAGGGATCCATACTCTTTGGTTCTTTCGGTAAAGTCACGTGGGTAGAAAATAAAGTAAATCACGACGTTTCGATTGCAACACAAGCAATCAAGAACATGTTCTTGCTGTGGGGTTCCCACCTGATGATTGTTGCTGCTTGTGTTGCAATCTAAACGTCGTGATTTAATTTAATTTATACCTCCGTGACTTTACCGAAAGAACCAAAGAGCAACGAAGTGGAGTCAATTATAATTACGACAGCGCCATTATAATTATTATTCCATCGTCTGATCAAGAAGCGTGACTTTCTCTCTCTCAACGTGCTATGAAGGGGCCATTGCCAGAAACGTCGTCTATTATACAGCATATATATTCCTTGCAAGGCCACATAACCGTGTTAGTGATGGGAGTCTATTTTGTATTTCACTTTGGTTAAGAACAGTGGTAGCCGAGGGCCAGGCAAACATCAGAGGGTGACGTCCAACGCGAGGAGATGGAGCGACGAAATGATCTGGCGTTGCAGTTGGGTGGCTTGGGGGCAGGGAAGGCCTTCATCCAGCGGCAGATACAGCACGCACCGTGGTCGCGCTCCATCAACACTTCCAACTCGTCCGCGAACTCGTCCTCGAACCCGTCGAAGTCGTCCCATTCGGCCATGGCGAGAGAGTTGCTTTCCTCTTACGAGGCTCGTGTACGCGTAAATGTGAAATGTTGCGATGTTTATAAACGACAACGTTCTACGGAGGCTGCTGCTTGCTGCTGCTGCTGCGGCCGCCACCGCCGCCGTCACCGCGAATTTGGCGGGAAAACTTTGCGCGCGAAGTCTCCGCCCACGACGCGCCTGCTGATTGGCTCGTGGCTCCGCCGTGAGCGTCGCGATTGGCTGCCACGAAAGCCACGTGGGCGCGACGGATGAGTCTTTGGGAAGTAGCAAGATGGCGTCGCCCCCCCCACCAACACCCCCCGTCACCCCCCCCCGCCAAGAACCCCCCCGTTCACCCCCCCCCCCCGCCAACAACCCTCCCCCCGTCATCCCCCCCCCGCCAACAACCCCCCGTCAACAAACACCCCGTCATCCCCCACCCGTCAACAACCCCCCCCTGTCATCCCCCCCCCCGCCAACAACCCCCCCGTCACCCCCCCCCGCCAACACACCCCCCACCAGCCAACAACCCCCCCCTGTCATCCCCCCCCCCGCCAACACACCCCCCCCCGTCATCCCCCCCCCGCCAACAACCCCCCCGTTCACCCCCCCCCGCCAACAACCCCCCCCCGTCATCCCCCACCCGTCAACATCCCCCCCCGCCAACAACCCCCCCGTCACCCCCCCCGCCAACACACCCCCCACCCGCCAACAACCCCCCCCCTGTCATCCCCCCCCCCGCCAACAACCCCCCCGTCACCCCCCCCGCCAACACACCCCCCACCCGCCAACAACCCCCCCCCTGTCATCCCCCCCCCCGCCAACACCCCCCCCCGTCATCCCCCCCCTTGTTATCCCCCCCTGTCATCCCCCCCCCCCGCCAACAACCCCCCCGTCACCCCCCCCGCCAACACACCCCCCACCCGCCAACAACCCCCCCCCTGTCATCCCCCCCCCCGCCAACACCCCCCCCCCCGTCATCCCCCTCCTTGTTATCCCCCCTGTCATCCCCCGCCAACACACCCCCCACCCGCCAACAACCCCCCCCCTGTCATCCCCTCCCCCGCCAACACCCCCCCCCCCCGTCACGTCAGTGCCGTTACGTCATTGGCGCGCGACCACTCGGCCGAGGCCATGTGGGCTGGTCGGTGGCGTGGGTTTGGGGTCTCCGTTGCTTTGCCCGATTATAAGACGCACCACTCTCGCCGGCGCTGCGGTTTCATTTTACAAGCTTTTACTTAACTCATTTAAATTAAAAAAAATTGAGGGGCGCGTCTCGTAGTTTGGCCGGTGTGCGTGCGAGCGTGTGTGTGTGTCGCCGGACAGATTTGTACAACTGCATTGACACCCAACACACACACACACGATTTCGGGTTGCGGCTCTTACTTTCCGGAGCTCCGGAGAATGAATTCGTGCTTTTAGAGTGGTCCATTCATGGATATTTTACGTCCAGCCCTGGTTGCTGCGGCTCTCTGAAGGGCTCTGGGTCAGCCCTACATTGCTTGTTGATTTCTCAACCGGCCCGACTTTTACGTCCAACCCTGTTTCCTGGAGCCCCCCCCCCCCCCCCCAGTTCACGTTGGAGGTCCCTGGTCTAAGTTCCTGGATGCTAGGCATCCCGTGATCCCAGCGCCGATTGCTGGAGGAGCCCCCCCCCCCGCCACCTGCTCCAATGTCTTGATGCTGGAAGAGGTCCCTGTCCCCCTCCAAATCCCTTGATGCTGGAGGAGCACCCGACGTACGCATGGAGGCGGCGCGACTTGAGCATCTGTCCGTGCTGCTGGAGGACGCCGACTACCTGGTGCTGGACAAGCACTGGGACCTGCGCATCGACAGCACGAGGCGCCGCGAGACGCTGACCGTGCAGCAGCAGCTGCGCCACCGCTACCCGCAGCTCCTCGACCCCAGCACCCGGCACGGATTCAGGTGTCGCCTGCTGCACAACGCCCCCCCCCAACCCACCCCTCGTCGCTTCGACGACGTCGCCAGACACCCAAAGTCCACTAAATAGAGCTACAAAATTGCCAAATGGACAACGCAGGCAAGCGGTGCAGTGTTTTTTTTCACGCAAATGTTATAAAGGTGCAGCCCTGCAGTTCCTTGCTCACAGCACCGCTGGTGAAAGGGTCTCCCGCTCTCGAGAACTCGCTCTCGTGGGCATTCTTGGGAAGACGGAAGCTTGTGTTGCCTCCGAAACGTCGTGATTTAATTTATTTGTTTTCTTTTAACCTACGTGACTTTACCGAAAAAAACAGTATGAATCCTTGCAGTCACGAAAGCTTCAAATCTAGAATTCTTGGCCTACTCCACGCAGGCCACCTTTGAAGAGGTGGAAGATGCCCACACTTTACCCCATCGCCACCACAACCTGCCCCATTGACCGACTGTTGATGGACAGTACTCGTGTATACTGCCGGGTGACAAGAGGCGAGGATATTGAAGAAACTTGCCCCAGTGTTTGCACTGCCACACCAGGAGAACGAAACGGTGGACCTCTGGATTGCAAGTCCAGTGTGCCAACGATTGGCACCACGCGTATGAGATTATAATGCACCCATGCTATTTCCATCCACATTTAGAAACATGCGTTTAGATTTTGAGTTGAAGCTTTTGTGACTGCAGGAATCCATACTCTTTGGTTCTTTCGGTAAAGTCACGTAGGTAGAAAAAATAATAGATCACGACGTTTCGACCGCAACACAAGCAATCGTCATCAGGCGAGACAACCACAACAAGAAAACAGAAGTTTTATTTTGCCGAAAGAACCAAAGAGTATGCATTTAGATTATTTGGCTGCTATACATTTCCACGTGAAAAAGCCACTTCGTTGAGCCATCATGTGGCCAGCCAGGTCGCTTCTGAAAAAGAAGCTAATTGCCCAGTTGCCTTTACCTGGTCAAAATAGACTTTTTGTGTGTGATTTGCCTACATTTCCTAAGACTTTGGACTCCAATCGTGTTTTCGTATCATTTCTCGTAACCCTCTGTGGCAGCACCATTGGAACCTCCTTTGCCAGTAGCAAAATATAATTAGTTTTTTACCCATTTTATCAGGAAAAAAAACTGACACCTTTTTAAATCCTTTATATTAAGTTCACTTGCTTGCTTGCTTGGTTTGGACCGTGTAAATCTTGCGGTCGTTTTTTAACCCGCTTCCCGTGATCCAATCGAGCTAACATTTTCCACAGACTCGTTGTGCATGACAATGTTCGTGAAAAAAAAATCCAAAATTTTACACTTTCTAGGCAAAAAATATTTATTTTACATTTATTCGAATGGAACTCATTCATGGCTTTGGCTGAACGTCACAGTGTAGGAGCCCAGAGCATGACACCTCCACAGGCCCTGGCGGAGTAGCGCAGTTGGTAGCGCCCTCGCTTCCGATGCCAAAGGTCGCGGGATCGATCGCCGCGTTCTCCACAGGCGAATATATTTTTAAATCCTTTATTAAATCCTTTATAGTAAGTTCGCTTGCTTGCTTACGACCGTTCAAATCTTTCGGTCGTTTTTTAACCCACTTACCGTGATCCAATCGAGCTGACATTTTGCACACAGACTCGTTGTGCGTGACAATTAATGTTCGTGAAAATATTTTTTCAAAAATGTTACACTTTTTAGGACAAAAATATTATATTTAATTACCAATTGCTTAATGCTGCCATGCAATCATCTGGCCCATAGGTGGCAGCCATCTCAAGCCAGAGGACGAGAGGACTCAAGCCGCCACGCATATAAAGGATTTATAGTGAAAAACTTTGTTTTTACGGGTTATACTTGTTAAATCATTTATATTAAGTTCGCTTGCTTGCTTAGGACCGTGCAAATCTTTCGGTCGTTTTTTAACCCACTTCCCATGATCCAATCAAGCTGACATTTTCCACACAGACTCGTTGTGCGTGACAATTTATTTTCGTGAAAAAAATTTCCCAAAATGTAACACTTTTTAGGAAAAAAATTCTTATATTTAATTACCAATTGCTTAATGGTGGCAGGCAATCATATGACCCATAGGTGGCAGCCATCTCAAGCCAGAGGACGAGAGGACTCGAGCCGCCACGCATATAAAGGATTTATAGTGAAAAACTTTGTTTTTACGGGTTATACTTATTTTACCACCTCTGTGGCAGGTTCTGCCACCAGCTGGACTACGCCACGAGTGGAGCCCTCTGCGTGGCCCTGAGCCGCCAGGCTGCTGGAGGGGCCTTCCGGGCCTTCAGTCAGCGGCGAGTCGCCAAGGCGTACCTCGCTCTGGTGAGCCGGCAGTGGGCTTGCCTGTGGCTCGTTTCTGTTACATCCCATACCTTACCAGTGCCCTACCTTATTACAGACCAATGCAGACCCTATTGGTTACCCCCGTGCCCCTTATAAATCTCTACGTTCAATGTATACACGACACTATACACTACTATAAACTACACTATATACTACACGACTACATACCTGTCAACCACTTATCAGTGCCTTATTACAGACCAATTCGGACCTCATTGGTCACCCCCCCCGTGCCCTTATACATCTCAATGTTCGTCCTACAAAGTCCGTATTGAAGCGGCTGCACGCCATATGGACGTGAGAACTCAATTTCTCTGTGCAAGAATATAGGTAAACCGTATAGCTATGCACACCATAGGTAGCCAACCGTACTAATCGGAGGTCGGGGGATGGACAATTCGATAAAAAAAACATTTTCAAAGTGCGTAGCTTCCAGTGGCTTTTTAATGTCGGAAGAGCGTTACAGTCGGTCGCAGAAGCGCATCTGAAAGCGCGCGATGCGGTGACCGTCTTTGTTCGATGGCCAGCTAAAAAGCCGTGGCTCAGACCCCTCAACCCCGACCCTCACTTTAAAGTGGAAAAAGAGTTGAATTAAGAGTTGGGTATCGCAGCCTTTCCTCGAATGCAGTACATCGTATACATAGGGCAGCGATTCTCAACCTGTGAATGGCCACCCCTACCCGACACGGCATTTAACTCACATAGAGGTCTGTCTATACTGGTATAAAGACCCACCAGACTTGCATAGAAATTCATGGCCATACGAACCCATGAACTCGCATGATTTAATTATAAAAAAAACTGGTTTCTCAAGTATGGTCACCATTGACTGTCACATAAAATGTTGTTCGGCACTTAATTTGGCTTTATTTCAGCTGTTGAGAATTATCCTGTAAAATATTAATTTTGTCACGTGATGTACGTAAACTTAGGTGTGAACTCCCGTTTCTGACGTGTGCAGGTGAGGGGACACGTTAAAGAGGAGCACATGACCATTGACTATGCAATTGGGAAGGACACCAGGGAGGGACAGACACACATGATGTGCGTGGAGGCCACCCCAGGTGAGAAGTGGGGCATGGTGCCGGAAATTATCCGGTTTCATCGGACTGGAGGTCAGGCGATTCACAGGCATGTGATCCAGCCGTTTGAAGTTCAGGGTTGGTGGGTCATATAGATTTTGGAAATAACCAAATCTGGTGAGCTGCAAGGTGATTAGGGGTTCGGTTAAAAAAGGGCATAACCTTCCCCAGGTACTTTAATTTTATTCCCACAAGCCAAACATTTGTATCGCACTATTTTAGTGTATCAGCCTAACAGGTTTTCAGGCCCAATTAAACAAAGCAATTCTGGACCTATTTTCACCACCTGGGTCAGACTGATTATTCAAACATTACTGGGCAAGAGCACTCCATCTAAGCCATGTGGCCACACTGACCGCAAATAGCCACATTTGTGGAAACGTGTAGAAGGGGTCTTTGTGCCACGACCTTTCTGCCGCATGCTCCCACAGGCTGCGACAACCCCAAGCCATGTCTCACGGAGCTCACGGTGCTACAGACCGGTCGCTACGGCGACGACCCCGCCACCAAGGTGCTGCTGCAGCCCGTAACAGGTGTGCGACTGCATGGTGCTAAGAGACCACCACCACCGCTCGCTCGCGTGATTTCTCTCTCGCACACGATGGGCAAAGTTGGCAAGTAGGTCACTCGCCAGGGGATGTGCCAAATATTCCGGATCGACGCACTTTCCCCTGCTGTATTTTAAAGCAAAAGTTGGGGCAGTTTTATTCTCGCAGTCGTGTGTGAGCAGATTTGTATAACTTTAATTACACCGGGTACACGTTTGGGGTGTGTCTTAATTTCTAGAGTGTCTTATTATCCAGAGAATATGCTAACCTGAGAACGGGTCCTTGTCATGTTGACTGAGACAATAAAAACCAATGCAGACGACAGCACACAGATGAGACAATTGTACACGGTACAGACGAGATGGACAATGCACTGTTCAGACGAGACGTAGCACGGATGAGACGGACAATACAAAGGAGACAGATCATACAGAACAAGTAAGACAATAAGTACCGATTGTTTGAATAAAATCAAGACCCCAGATATTGACAATTCCTAGATTTGACTCATTCCACGTCAGTGAGATTCTGCACTACAGGCTATCATCGGTGGTGATAGGCATGCGTTGGTGGGTGTACGCACGTGTTTGGGCGTGTGTATTTATGCTCGCATCAATCCGCGCGTGCGTCCGCGTTCCTGTTGGGGCTGGGCGTGGTGCTGGACACCCACCCCCTCATGCGCCACAGGTGCTCGCTAACAGCACTTGTCCAAGCAGTCACAGTTAAGGCTTTACTGGGGATCTTTCTCTTTGTTGCGTCCTTGTGCATGGCCGCCATGCGCAGGCCGCACGCACCAGCTGCGCGTGCACTGCGACGCCGTGGGCCACGCGATCGTCGGGGACTACACGTACAGCCTGCGCGCCGACACGGCGCCGTACCGCACCATGCTGCACGCCGCGCTGCTCCGCATGCCGCTCGGAGAACGCACGGTGCAGGCGCGTCGACGACTTTGACGACCGCACCCACCGTGCACCACAGCACACGGCCGACTGCGACGAATGATTCTGTACACAGACTAAGATAATGAAAAAATATTAAGAGACTGCAGGATACCGAGGAACACCAAAAATTGGAATTGGCTGTGTCGTATGTAAAAAAGATTGACCGATGTCACCGATTGGATGACGAGATATTCAAATTATTTGGCGATGCTGCGTTGCCAATGCTATGAAGGGCCGTTCCCCAAAACGTTATATATTTTAAGGTATTGTTATCAACGATTGTGTTGAGTTTTTTTTTATAAAGGGGGGGGATAAATTGCAGACCTCTCACACCAAGTGTTTCACCGCTTTAGTCAACTAGACTGAGAGCGACTACATTTAATTCGCAGGCCGAGACCAAAATAAAAACAAATGCTGACTCGAACTGTGCCGCTGCTCCCGGTACCGGCAGGCGGAGGCGCCCGACCCATTCGTGCCAGACGTTGACCCGAGCTGGTGCCCCGAGCAGACACTGCGGAGCGTCGACGAGGCGCTTGCCGAGGTGGTGAGGAAGGCCGTCGCCACGGAGGCGAGGCTAGCCACGGAGGAGGCGGAGGCGGAGTTGGCACGGCGACGCATGGCAAGTACGAGGAGCGCCAGGCCGGTCAGCGAGGCGGCGACGGAGGGTCTGCAGCGCTGGCTGCAGGAGTGGCCAGCCGACCTCTAACCCCAGGCGTGCGACCTCTAATTCGGGTCAGGTCAAGTTGGCGCCAGCACCACCAATCGTGGGGTGGTTTGGAAGCACGCTCCCAAGAGAATGCTGCCATGCACGCCTTGTTTTGCGAGTGTACAGCAACCGAATGTTCTTCTGGAGAGGCCGAATGCACCTTACCGTCACAGGTGTGTGTGGGGCGTCCATCACGTGCTCGAGACTTCACTGCAAACTATAGTCTCCGTTAGCCATTCTCAACACACTGCGGGGTGACCTCTCCCGAGTGACTCCACTAACCTTTTGCCACTCCTGCCGATCTTCTCTGGATCTCCTTACTCCCAATGTATCGTTGGTTTCCTTCAACACAGCATCCGACCGTTTCCTGCGTATAAACAACCCCCATCGTCATTTAAAAATACAAGCACCTCCCCTCTAGATCCTGAGGTGCTTGTCATGCTCTCTGTGCAGTGCCTTTAGATGCTAAACAAATCAAACTGCTTTGCAATATACAACCTTCATTAATCCGGGCCTGTAGTACTCATCTGTGAGCATATATTCACCCACGTTTTGTGCTACTTTATAACAACAGTCATGAATAGCCTTCAGTTCCTTTGACACTGCCAGAACGAGGTCTCTCTCCTCCCCCATACTTCGCCACGCTTGTCAGTGCGGGTCGGTGAAGTGAGGGGAGCGCAGCCAGGACTGGGTTTAGATATCGCTCGCCACCGATGCTGTCCGTCCTACGCGAGAGTCAAACCTCGGGTCGCCCGGTTCTTTGAGTGGGGCGCGCGCTGACCATTGCGCCGCCGACTCGCCGTTAATAAAGCGTTGAACAAGTTAAGAAGCTTTTTACATTATTATTTTTAATATAGTTATGTTGCAATCCAGTGGTGATAACAATGTGTGGTGAGGGTATTGTTTTAAATAGAGAAAGCTGTATGGATGACTAATTCACAATGAACTTGCACACAAGCTGCAGTCTACCGACTTCACGATTGGAAACCATGATGGGACAAACCGGATTTTATTTTGCAGGTTTGCAGGAAAAAAACTAAAACAATTTTAACTCAGAACCAATATTTTGTCATTTGTCTTTTATTTATTGAAGAATAAAGTTTTTTTTGGGTTTTATTCAATGGCCGTATTTTTTACGCTGTTCTTAAATAGTAAGCCATTAATTTAAACACCCTGTGTTTACGCACTCCTGACATCGCCTCTTAACCATTGAACCCTGACCCTTGCCCCTCCTCCCGGGCAGGATGTAAATTCTCACCTGGCAGAGGATGTGGCATCTCAAAAGAAATAAACGTAAAATAAAGAATTCCATTCTTTTCTCACCAAATCACATGGGCGAGTTGGGTAATGACTTTGGGAAAAATTCGCGACAAAGGCATGAGCAGTAAGGCGAGTCTGACTGTCCGACTCTTGTTCAGACCGACCAGCCACCCCACCCCTCCCCCCAAAGCCTGTTCAAGTAAGCGACTACACTGCCCGGTGGTGTAACATCTACGTCTTGAGGGTGTATCCCTCGCGGAAATGCCTCATCACTGCGAGGCACCATGGGGAGCAGGGAAGTGCTGCTTGATAAAAGGCGTCCTGCACTGCTACTTGAAGCTCTGTAGAAGCGCAAGAGTGCCTGTAACACCACGTTGCACCCTCTTGTCGGGCACAATAAATAACAGAAATTTAATCTGCCGTTCTTGTTTTAACATACCTTTCTGTGGCGATTCTCAGCAAGCTAAACTCTGAGCTTTGTACTTTTGTCGCATTGTGTCGTTGGCTTATTGGCTTGTAACGAGGCATCTTAATTGGCAACATTCGTGGAAACATGCGACCGCCCCTCCAACTCGGCCCCTCTGCAGTCGCCACTTCGTGCCTCTACCCAACGTTATCGCTCGGCCTTCCTCGCTCTCCCAATATATTTATTTACCTTGAGCGCATAAATAAGAGCACTGCTGCCTTCGCAACAAATTACCGGTTCAGCATTATACATTTTCCTGTCCCTTTCTCCAATTAATATAATGGAACTGCACACTGTGGGGGTGGAGACGTGGGGTTACCGTGACAGCACCTCCACCAGCAACTCCAGTACAGTTCGCGATTGTAGGGCTGTACCCGCAGCAACGTTGGCACGGGCAGTCACATGGGACAGCCGGTGGGGCTGGAGGGGCCCGGGTTGAGTGACAAACAGTTAGAGGGTTGAGCGGGCAGCCGATGGCAGTGCTGGGAACTCGTCCTCCCCTCCGTGCCTTGCCGTGTGCCAAGACCAGTCCGCAGGGCCGACGACCTGACGACGATGAAAATGACAATCGCACACGGAGCCCATCAGCAGCCGGCTTGGATACACAGCGAGCGTCTTTGAAGGCTGATGTGGCCTCAACACAGTGCTTGTGCCACGCTAGGTGCACTCTAAGGCCATGTGAAATGCGTACACGTGCGCACACGTGCGCACACGTACACACACGTACACACACACGTGCGCACACGTACACACGCACACGTACACGTACACACGTTCACAGGACAGCGTTCATAACGAGCGTGGCGGAGCGTGGACGTCGCTCACCTGCTGGCAGGATGGGCAGCAGCGGCAGTCAAGCTCACTCCCGGAGTCTGCGACTTTTGCCCCCTGCCCCTTCTTCTTCCGGGCCGCCCCGACTGCACCTGGCGGTGGCAGCGAAGCGTGAACGACTGCGGCGGCAACGAGCGCTCTGCACGCCGTTGTTGACGCGGCGGCGCCACGTCTCTCGCGAGGCTTTCGCGAGACGTTCACAGATACTCTATGCCACAGGAACAAGCACTGCATCGTCAGCCGTGCCTTGTGTCACCTGATTATCGATGATGGGAGCTGAATAACATTACTGCAATGGTTCCCTTTCTTTGGCCAGGATCTCCACTTTGTTCAATCATGATCCTTTCTCTGCTTGTTTCTTTAATAGCTAGTTTGGGATACTCTCCGAGCTTGTTATCGTAACGTGTTGCGAACCATTGTGGGGTCTTCTTGCCTTGACTTTGTGTACAGAGGGGGGGGGGAGGAGGGGCGGTAAACTTCCAGGCCAGGAGAGTGACGATACATCGATCGCTTCGCGCGTCAAACCGCGTGCGATTTTTACGATTTTGACACAGGACGATTGCTTATGGCAACATGTTGCCTTATCAATGTAAATGCGACTGTAAAAACTGAGGAAAAAATTATGAAATTGTCAAATGAAAATCATGACCCAGGAAGGAGGGACGGCGGCGTGAATCGTTACAGGCCGGACTACGATGATGATGGGGAGCAGTTTGCTGCTCTCTCTCTCGCTAAACATAAATTACCCACAAAATTACTTTATTGGGTAAAAGCGCACGACAAACAATAACTTTGCCGTACGTGCAAAGTTATTGTTGTTACCTGTACCTGGTTGCTGCTGCTGCCGCCGCCGCCTCTGCCCATGGGCGTCCAAGAGCTGCCGCTGCCTCTCCGTGTCGGGCAGCAGCACCAGCAGCTCCGGCAGCACGACGCCGAGGCCTACGGGGCCCAGCAGGGCCTCGCAGCGCGCGTGGTAGTCTATCGCTGACAGCGAGCCCTGGGCGACGCCACGGTGGGGGGGGGGGGGGGGGGGGGGGGTCGGCGGGGGAAGGGGGTGGCAGGTAAGTTCATGGGCGAGGTCATGGGCGAGTTCACAGGGACTTCTGGGACGTTCACAGAGAATAGATTTGATTTGTCCAGACCCACGATCAATGAATATTACAACGCACCAGCACCATTAGCTGCAATTACAATTACACTGCGATTACAGTTCATTGTGAATGACACCGTCGTAGCAAAACTGCGCTGCGTATACCTTGTGCCGCACAGTGATAGCTGCCATTGGGGATGGGGGGGGGGTTCCCATTTGGCTGCAGCGGGGCATTGTATTGGTTGAGATATGAGATTACGATCGTGATTGACCCCAGGTCTGTCTGGTTTTGTGGCCCGCTGGTTTGTACCCCTACCTGGCGGAACTGGCCCGAGAGCTTCTTGAAGTCGGTGAACTTGTCTTCGTCCTCCCCCAGGATCCCGCGCACGCGATCGATCAGGGAGCGATTTCGCTGCACAAAGTTTTCCGGGGCTATGTAGCCAGTGCCGGCGCCGCCACCTCCAGCTACCTCCCCCTCTCTGCAAACACGCACACACACAAAAGGCACACGACACATCAACGTACAAAGACGAAGATCCCTTGTGTTGCCTTAACAGATTGTTGGGGACAGCGAGCGCCTATGAAGGCCGGCACAGCAGAAGAGGGGGGTGGATGACCATAGTTACACATCGCATCAGGTACTTGTATTGCAGTGCGGCGACGACCCCGCTACCCAGTGGCACACAGACAAATACACAAAGATCCCCCGTATAGCCTCAACAGACATTTGGGCCAAGTGCTTCTAGCAAATTCCTATAAAGGCCGGCACGGCACACCAAGAGGTGGTTGGCCAGCATCACGCCCGACAGCCTTCGTCTCCCCAGTGGCGATGTTTACATACCACACCAGGTACTCATTTGGAGACTGAGTCGACCTAGGGGAGGCCCAGGACTGGTGTTGGCCAAGAGCAGGAATCCAACTCGGGTTGCTGGGTTCGTAGCACCGTGCGCTAGCAGCTAGACATATGAACATACTGCGGCGTTGGGGTTAGATCGTGGCTGACGATTGCCTGGAGTGCCGGAATCACCTGCAGTCGCTGAATGCGGCCGGCACGGCCACGAGCCCGGGCGGGGCCCCTTTCGGCACGGCCACGGCCACCACCGCGGCCAGGCCCGGGGGGGCGATGCTCGTTGGGGACCCCCCAAAGCCTGGGGGAGCTGTGGCCGGTGCTCCCAGGCCGGGCGGGGGCTGCTTCACCACAGCGGCGGCGGTGGCGACAGGGCCAGACTTAACGAAACCTGGCACGGAGGAAGAAGGAAGCGATAGACGGTTAAAATACAAAAACACGTAATTAGACTTCGCACAGCTCTGTTCTGGTTGAATATCACCGAATATCCGTACACGCATCATCAGTACAATTTTAGAATAAAGTTGTATTCCTAGGAGGGATTTACCCAAAAGCAACCTGGCTAAATTGATGAATGGGGAAAGGGGAGGGTGTGTGGAGGTGGGGCTCACCGGGCGGTGGCTTGCGGGGCACAGCAGGTGCAGTCAGCGCCGGAAAGTCATCTTCAAGGCTCAGGAAACCACTGACTGCTTGCACCGGCGGCGGCAGCAGCAGGGACGGCGGGCCAGGAGGGGCGGCCAGGCCCGGGGGCGGTCGAGGGACGCCGTTAGCCAGGGTTCGCCGCTCGGTGCCGTTCGTCTGGTCAGCGCCGGAGGCTGGAGCCGGGGGGAAAAAGACGCCGGTGGCGAGAGCGGAGGAGCGAGCGGTCGGGGTGTGCGAGAGGGGAGGAAGCGGAGGAGGACAATCGTCAGAGAGCAGTATCGATGGAGACAAACGCCTCCCCGAAGACGGGAAACCCCCTAGGAGCCCCTCTCCCCGTGTGGCGCACGTCGACACATCGAGTCGCTGATCAATGTCGCCCGCGATACACGCGCCAATCTGCGTGTTTACCAATCAATTCACATCCATGCAAATGTACATGCTAATGTTCTATAGGCCAATAGAGCGGACGAACCTATAAACCAGAAACAATAAAAAGGGGACTGCACAAACAAGACTACGGAAAATTAACACCGAAGCAAATTGCGACTGAACGACATCAATTTAAATTTCTATTTAAAGCTTTCGTGACTGCAGGGATTCATCTTTTTGGTTCTTTCGGTAAAGTCACGTAGAATGGAAATAATAAAATAATAAAAATAAAACATAATAAAGCATTTTATGTTTTATTTTTATTATTTTATTATTTCCATTC